CCATGTGGTAATAATCAGATACAGGTCTGATGTCTGAATTCTGACCTCAGTCTGAACAGTCAAATCGGAATTCATGAGACTTTTATGTCACTCTCGAATGACATTTAATCACAATTCTGCACTGACAGGTGGATTTTACTTAGCGGTAGCTCTTTGGTCACTCACTATATATGGAAGACATCCATGACTGTAGTCAGTGAAGGGACAGGGAGGTGTAAGTATTACGGCGATAGCTCTATATAAGCAAAACTTCAGGTAAAAATATGAAAACTACAAAAACTTCCTTTCTTCTCATCCTCATCTGTGCCCTCCTTATTGCCTGCACACAAATTCACTTGATTCCCCAGCACGTCAGCTTATAAATTAATGTGTAAACACTGATTTCAGTGTCGATTCCCTATGACAAGGAGCTGTGTTGTCTTTGTTCTTGTACTTTTGCACATGTGGATCAGTTCGGGACCATAACCACTGCACACTCAAATCTGATTTCAAACTTAAATAATACAAATAAAAAAAGACCTGAACAATAAATCAGACTTGAGCACTTAAGCTTGCAGTGTGAACATCTGCATAGAGGCCATTCACACAGAATGTGTTCTTGAGTTTAAAGATGTGAGGCACATTGCAGCAGAATGGAAAAGAACGCAAGGTTTTGAGACAGGTTTTCAAAACTGAACTACTTTTAACTTGACGTGACATCTTAAAAATGAGGAAAAAGCTGAAAAAAGCTAATACATCTAGAGCATTTTTACATAGGAAAATAATTAAAAAGCAGCATAGGTGAGCACAAAATCATAGACAAGTAGAAAATATACTAGTAATATGGACATTCATTTCCATAAACGGTCGGTTCCTTTTCACATTATTTCTTTGTTTAGTATAGATATTTAACATAGTAAGGCTAAATATTGTATTGAATTTACACTTCCTTTGAAAAGACTTAAAAAAAGTTTTGAACATATTAACTGAAATTATCTCACCATATGGAATTGCTTTAATTTTTATTGATTTTTAAAATATTGCTTTATTTAAAATAAAAAGTTACGAAAAAAAATCACTACTCGTAAAAGTTAGGAATCGGCACTAATATATTCTTCAGGATTCCTATCCCTAAGTCACACTATTTGAGATATCAATCTTGTTAGCAGCTCAAAAGGTGACATACCAAAGGGTTTGTTCAACTCTACCTATGAGCAACGGTAATAGTGATTCTGATGCTTGCCATAACAAGCTCTACTAAAAGTAGTATGACAAATGTATTTCCTCACAAATGCCTCTGTAGAGTCACATTACTCCTTGTAAGCTTTAAAAATGAGTAGTAACCTTTCACCATCAGACACCCGGAGGGCCAGTCCATAACCATGAGAAATAAATAAATAAAAAACGTTTGAGAGATTTCATTCCAAGGATCCGGGCTCTTCCCCAAGGGTGTGAGCTGATGTAATTTTAGCACTCATTTATCTTAAATGAGGAAGTTTTCAGGTCTGGTTCTTGAGAACGCTCTTGAGAACAGCTCAGCGTGCGTGTCTGATCAGGTTTCTTTATTATTGTAATTATGATGCACCGTGGCAGAAGGCTCATGGAGAACTTGTCTCTCTTTCCCCTCCCATGACTTTCTCAGGGCGTCTGACAAAGCATGGAACATAACCTACAGCACTGGATCTAGCAGCTTCAACATGTGTGCCGTGCAAACCATAGAAGTACAAAACCGCTAGGTTACAGAACGCACACTCTGCTGATCTTGTATTGGCTATAAATCTGTTACAGCTGGTGTATACAGATTCACACAGAGCGCATTCATGTGTGTGTGTGTGGCTGCATATTTCTCAGGGAGAGCAGCAAAGGCCTTCATTCCGTGTTGTTGTTTGGTCACTAGGTGTGAGCTCAGCTCCCTGGCAACTGACACTGTCGTACGGATCCAAGATCTGGTTATTTTGGCGTGATGGTCGAGGGAGAAAGAGCAAGCTCTGCAAATGTCGGCCAAATTCCACACTCGCCAAGTTCCCTTTGCACTCATTGTGAGATAGGCACACTGCTGACAAAAAGAGTTGGGTGGAGGTCTGGGATCTCCAGAGGAAAAACACACACACTCACTCACACATAAGCTCAGGCTTTGATGAGAGAAAGTAAGTGGAGATCCTAGAGAACCAGGGCGTATAATCTGTGATGCTCTTTTGTATGGGTTTGAGTGATCTAAATGAACACCATGCCTCTGACATCACTTCTTCTTTAATATATGCCTCTTCACTCATTAAATCAAACTCACATCAATAACTCATTTGTCGAAATGACAGCAATAAATAATTAAGAAAAGGATTTTTTTTTCTGTGAGTGAATGTTTTGCAAATGTTCAGATATGTACTGGCCCTGTGGTGCTTCTGGAAGAAAAAACAAGCTGGAAAAAACAGGCAGCTTCAGGAAAGAATGCAGCTTGATGGTGGACGGTCTGCCTTCACCAGAAATATGCCGCAGTTTCCTCTCATCTCTCAACAAACCAGGGAGAGGCTTCCTCCTTTTCACTCTCTCTCCACTCTCTATCTTTTTTCGTGCATAATAACTTTCACATGATATTTCTCTTATTTTGTAGTTACATTCAGTTCTTTTGTAAAATGGTAAATTAACGTCTGTGTTTGGACCTGTAGAAAAACAACATTAAAATCGCAGAGTAATAGATGTTAATAGCTACTCACAAATAAAGGCAAGAGTGTGCATGTGAGAACACATCTGTGTGGCCTACGCACTCACCACACCAGAGGTAAAAGAGTGATGGTTTGTTTTGAGAGGTGTTTATTTTGCATTTATCCATTAATAAAGTTTGTATTTATTTTGGTGCAATTACAGCATTATTCTACTGGCAAACTATGACTCTAGCTTAATACAGGCTGACTGATTGTAATATTTGTTTATTTGACCAAGACTAAATTCATCTTGTCTTAAAGGGATAGTTCACCCCAAAATGTTAATTCTGTCATCATTTACTCACCCTCATGTTGTTCCAAGCCTGCATGACTTTATTTATTCTATAGAACATAGAAGATAATTTGAAGAACTGTTTTTGTCTATACTAGGGATGCTCCGATCCGCCTTTTTCGCCTCCGATACCGATTCCGATACCTAGGGTTCGGTATTGGCCGGTACCGATGCCCGATACTAGTACACATTCATAAATCGGGGATTAAACGTGGAGTTATGTTCTGTATGCTAAATATGAATATATAAACAAGCGTATGTGCACAGTACCTATAACTGCGCTTTGCATCTGCTTTCTGCTGATTGCTGATCGAGATTGACATGCTAAATGGCCGAATGACCAGGTACACTCTCATTCATTTCGTTCACGAACGAGATGTACCAGTTCAGTCATTTCATTCACGAACAAGATGTAGTTCATTCAACTCGTTCACGAACGACATCAGTTCATTCAACTCATTCACGAACGAGATGTACCAGTTCAGTCATTTCGTTCACTACATTCAACCAATCACATGCTCCGTCACATCTCAAACTCGAAGGCTATTGGCTCGAGGTTTAGTCATTCTTTGACAGGATGAAACAGTCCACAGAGCTACCCGGTTCACTGATCTGCGCATGCGCTGCCAATAGCGCCGCGCTGCTCTGGAGGGAGAAATTTCAGTGAACGAGAAATATGAGTCAATGGACTATGTGAACGAGAACGATTCGTTCACCAAAAAGATTCGTTCAAAAAGAACGATTCGTTCACGAACGAAACATCACTAGTTCTAATCACACTGGTGTGATCGTACGCGTTAAAGGGTTAAGCTATCATATGGCTTCAGAAGTAACACAGAATAATTCGCACAATCGAGAAAAAAAATAAATAAATAATAATAATTCTCGGATTTAGATCGGCCCTCTCTGACCGATACCCGATCCGAGAAAAATGGCACTATCGGAGCCGATACCCGATATGAATATCAGATCGGCGCATCCCTAGTCTATACAATGAAAGTCGAACCCCTAATGACTCATTGTAGTGACCAAAAAACACAAAAAATATCTTTCAGAAACAAGAAAGTCACACAGGTTTAGAACGACATGAGGGTGAGTAAATATGACAGATCAGTTGAGCGTTTTGTTTAGGAATCAGTGTTGCACTACAGACCCACAATAGTCAAAGACTGATGCATATTGCATAGTTTGATTTTGAAACATTTAGTGAAGTAAAAAAATGTGTAAATATTCTAACAATTTAAACTAACTGTTTTCTATTTGAATATATTTTAAAATGTCATTTATTCCTGTGATGGTAAATCTGAATTTTTAGCATCAGTCTTCAGTGTCAAATGATCATTCAGAAATCATTCTAATATGCTGATTTTCTGCTCAAGAAACATTTCTTCTTATTATAAATGATAAAAACAGTTGTGCTGCTAAATATTTTTTGTGGAAACAGTGATAGATTATTTTTTTCAAGATTCCTTGATGAATAGAAAGTTCAAAAGAACAGCATTTGTTTGAAATAGAAATCTTAAGTGTCTACTGTCACTTTTGATCATTTTAATGCATACTTGCTGAATAAAAGTAATTTTAAATAAATAAAAAAAATATTGACTGACTATCTAAAAATTATTACTAACCCCAAACCTTTGAACGCCTAGTGCATAATTGAGATGGTCTATCCTATTTAAGCCAACCGAAGCTGCAAAGTGAATATGCTGACACTCAAAACGTCTGGCTAAACGAGACTCAGGTCGACTGTGCCTCATGGGTGCCGAATGCACACAAAAGACATGTCTGTGGTGGTTTCATGGGTTTGTGTTTGCACAAAGCAAGTGTTTCTCAGGTGAGTCATGCTGGTGGTTTGCAAAGCACGCGTCTATGCAAGTAGGTATTTGATGTCGGAGAGGTTGGAGTGGAAAGTTTTCGGAGAGAAGTGAATGGCTGATTGACGGGAGGCGTATTTGCGTAAGATGTTGGATAACGTACAACGTGTTTCTAAACTGGGTAATAACATCTTGTGTGCAACTGGTGCAACTCACCTGGGTGGATTTGTCCCTCATGCAAGGGGCACAAGGGGCGTGGTTGGCGTCCCGGGGCCAGTGTCCAGACAGGTAAGGGGCCGTGAGCGCGTCCAAAGAAGAGGTGCGACGAATGCTACCGTTATTGCTGGTGGTATACCAAGACCCTGCCACAGGAAGTCTATGCTTGTCTGCAAGACAGCCAGAAAGCACAGAGGAGATAAAGAGGGGAAGGAAGGATTGGGAGGAGAGACATGGGTCGAATGAAAGTATATGAATGAGACGTGTGGGGGAGAATAAAACAGATGGGAGGGAAACAGAAGAAGAACATACGTTAGAGGCTGCATGTTATGAACACAATACGTCATCACAGTAAGTGCTCAGAGACGCTCCTCAAGTGTGTGAGATTACACCAGCTTGAGTGTAAATGTCCGCTGGACTGGTGGTGATGAATACTAAAACCCAGCAGATTGAGACAGAATTAGTCTGGTGTCCAGTAGCTCTTTTAATAAAACTAAAGCTGATTAACTGCTCGACTGGCGTGGAGGAAGCAGCCCGCGTGACCTACATTTAGTGCGTCTCCACAAGTAATTGCCCCCTTCACTATTCTCTCGGCTCTCTTTTTCTCACATTTGTTCTTTCTAGCACACAATCGATGGCTTTCTCTCCCTCTCTTGTCATTCTGAGTCTTTGAAAGACTACTCTTTTATATAAATTCACACTATTGAATATACGGCGCAGACGTACAGTAAAAAAGCACAGCTTGCTGTTTTGTACCGCTCTAAAGAGATGACGTCTGTGAGGGATTTTACACAGGAAGTTCAGCCTATGTGCTTTTCAGAACAGTTTTTTTAAGAAAGTCCCATTCTCTTTTGCCACATAGGTGACATCAGTCTTTGTGTGTGTGTGTCAGGGAAGCAAATCAGAAGGGAACAATTAAATTTGTTTGCCTCCAACAGTCCAGTGGGAATGTGAACACTCACCTCAGTAATAAAACAACTACTACTCTTCACTGTTGGGTGGATCTGCTGTTATTTTAAGACAAAACTACAGAAAACTCCAGTCTTACAAAAAGCAGAACAGGGATCTTGCATTACGTTTTTCAAAATAGTGCTGGCTTGACTTTTTTGTGTGTTGTACGCATTGAGGAAAGTGAGAGAGGATCTAAAGAGGAGGAACCTGTAAGGAATTCTGGGTGAAGTCATGCGAGAAAGACAGAGGAATTGGCCACATAGCTCAAGTTGCAATCTCTAAACGGTATGCTTACACTCACTAGGAAAATAAGTGCATGTGCAAGGCTCCGAAACAACCCTCAATGCAATGTGAATGGTAAATCTTCTAGCTAACTCAAGCTCAATTTATCAGATTAATGAATTCTGAAATGAAAATCTGGTTCAGAACACAATTCATAAAGCAACATGAATATACGCCGCATTCTCAGTGTTGCCACATGGGGCGCTCTAGTGAGCATTAGCATACAGAGATCTGTTCAACAATAAGATTTCTGTCAAGGTATAGTTTGAAAATAATCTTAGTAAGTTTTTTCTTGACATGTATCTAGCTACCTGAATAAAAATTAACAATAGTTATCGATACTGATCTTTTACAACTGTAATAATGGCTTCACTGACGCTTTTGAAAATTGGTAACTAATTAATCTTTACATTACAATAATAAAAATATAATATGCTTTAAATATTGTATGAAAATACTAATATTAATAAAATTAATAATAATAATAATAATAATAATAATGACGATGATTTGGCATTGAAATCAGTTGTGCCGCTTAACGTTTTTGTGGAAACACAGTGATACATTTCTAAGGATTCTTCAAATTTAAAAGTTCAAAAGAACAGCATTTATTAGAAATAGAAAACTTCTGTAACATTACAAATGTATTTACTGTCACTTTTATTCAATTTAATGCATCCTTGCTCAATAAAATTAATAATTTCTTTAAAAAAAATCTTAACTCACCTCAAAAATTTGAACTGAATATAACTAGAAAATTGGAAATATAGGGCAAAAATATCAATACCCTCGACCAGTCTCTATTAATAACATTTTAGGTTAACTGACATCAAGCCTCTTTGAGTACCGAGGTTACACAGTAACGCAGGAATGCATGGCAAGTATGTACAACAGGACCACACGCTTGCAATGCATTTGCCAAACATTCACATCTGTGTTTACATTCTTGTATAGTGTTTGTTTCTGACCTAACAGTGCACTGATCTACACCTAAATTAATGAAAAAGCTTTATGTATGTGTGTCTGTGTGTCACTTGCCTAATAATTGTGCACACAGTGTATATATATATATATTACATAATTGCATACACATAGATGCATGCACATAAACAAGCATGGCACACAGAGGACAGACTCTCACACGGGGATGTTAGCTCATCTCTGATAGGCTCATATGAGAGATGCTATGATGCACTACTGAGCAATGAATTCTCTTATCGTCCCTGTCTATGCACCGTAGGTTCTTGTGTTGTGTCTATCCTGCATCTCACTCAGCACATCCGGCACACATGCTGATAATGCACACAGTGGCCCATGAGCCGCGTCCTTGGGAAGTCTGTGCTCTTGACTTTTGTCTCCTAAAACGAGTGAATTTGACTAGACCAAAACAATAATAACGTCACAGCAATTCATCAACAGTACCATGAATACGCCTACAGTTCAGTCAACACAGATACAGATAACCATCTTCTCAGAAACGTCTCAACCCGCAGGATTATAATATACTCACTGTAGCTCTAAGTGGACAAACCCAAGCAGAAGGAGAGGCCTGCAGCTAAAGTAAAAGGGTGTAATAGTGACCTGACTCCTAATAGTGTTCTTTGTGAGGACAGAGAGATCAGCCTGGTCTCGTCCCGGCCTGCCTATACCACCCCCTCTTTGAAAAGACTGGGGGTGTGTCCTGTTAAACCCCCAGCCAAGAGCAAAAGGACAACGTCCTCATGGAGATCTTCAAAAGCGTGAGCAAAGCTTTTGAGACACACACCAGCATGTCAGCTTTGTTGCAACGCTGCACTGCTATGAGCAATGGTGTTGTTTAATCCTGAGAACAATGAGCTGAAACGTTGAGGAATACATTCAAAGAAAAACACCTGGATACTGTTAAAAGGACGCTGACTAGTTTGTCAGTGAAGTCAACAATAGTTGCAAGATAAACCTCTCTCTGAGAAGTTCCTCTAACACGGTCATACACATGCAGACGGATGTCTTTGGCTATTGCTTCATGACTCATTGTTTTTTGAAACATCCTGCACCATCTATGAGCATTACGTTTGTGTCATAATTCTTCTTAATAACCATGAGATGTTGTAATTCCACACTACATTTAAATGTGCATTTTTTTACCCTTTAATTTACTTTTTTTTTTAAATTTATTATTTCCATCATTGTACTATCATTAAAGGATTAGTCCACACAAAAATGAAAATTGTCATCATTTACGCACCCTCATATCGTTCCAAACCCATGAGACTTTCATTCTTCTTCAAAACACAAATTAAGATATTTTGAAGGGATAGTTCACCCAAAAATGAAAATTGTGTCATTAATTACCCACCCTTTTTGTTTTCTTTCCACACAAAAAGTATTCTCGTAGCTTCATAAAATTATGGTTAAACCACTGATGTCACATGGACAACTTTAACAATGTCCTTACTACCTTTCTGGGCCTTGAATGTGGTAGTTTTGTTGCTGTCAATATGCAGGGTCAGAAAGCTCTCGGATTTCATAAAAATATCTTAATTTGTGTTCAGAAGAAGAATGAAGTTCTTACAAGTTTGGAATGACATGAGGGTGAGAAATTAATGACAGAATTTTCATTTTTGGGTGAACTATCCCTTTAGTACACCTCAGAGATTTCTATCCCTCCATGGAAAGTCCAAAAAAATGTGACACTTGAAAAAAATTCAAAATTGCAAAAATTGTAAAGCAAAATTGTAAAGCAGTGTAATCCAAGCCTTCTTAAGAGTCATGTGCAGTGTGTCAAGGTCTTTCACAATGTTTTTATAAACTTTTTGGAACATCCAAGTTTTGGTAGAATGGTAGAACATGAGGGTGAGTAAATGATGACAGAATTTGCATTTTTGGGTAAAGTTACCCTTTAAAAACATTATATAAGAATAACTGTTAAATGTAATATTTAGCAAATTTCATGAATATTGTTTTTTCATACAGTACATTATAATGTTGTAATGGCAAAAATAACGTACAGCATCTAAACAACTGATTTTTGTTTTATTTTTTATTTATTTAGATTAGGGGTGGGCGATATGGCAAAAATATCATATCACGATTTCTTTTTTTTTTTGGAAATATCACGATTCTTTGTCATGTTGGTTATACTATTTTGTCTGAGCATTACAGCCAAACTAATTTCCCTATTATAAAGACAAAGTCTTTCAAGGAATAACAAAATATAAAAAAGAATGGCGGATATTTAGGCCAAAGTGGGCGAAGACAAAAATCTTTGTCATTATTTTATCTTTGTTATTAAACAATAAGAACAAATAAACACATTACAAATACACATAATATACAAATAAAACAAACAGTGTTTTATTTTTAGGTACAATAGGTGTATTTAGCAGGAGCATTCAAGAAATTGAATGAACAAATATAAAAATAAAACACTATATAGATTGATTCCTCTTAAAGCAACTAAAGTTTTTCAGTCAAGAGTATGGAGTGATTTTTCTCTTTGTGTTTTCTTGTTTTATTAACATTAAAGGAATAGTTCACCCAAAAATAAAAATTCTCTCATCTGTCTGTCAATTCTGTCATAGTGTTTTATTGTTATACCATCATTTACTCACTCAAACGTTGTTTTAAACCTGAATGAGTTTCTTTCTTCTGCTGAACATAAAAGTTATTTTGAAGAACGTGGAAAACCAAACAGTTGCTGGTCCCCAGTGACTTCCATAGTATGTTTTCCTACTATCAAATTCAATGTGGACCAGCAACTGTTTGGTTTACCCATATTCTTCAAAATATCTTCTTTTGTGTTCAGCACAAGAAAGAAATTAGTATAGGTTTGGGACAGCATGTGAGTGAGTAAATAATGACAGAAATTAAATTTTAGGGTGAACTATCCCTTTAATGGCAGCATGTTTAGTACTGTCCCTTTAAGAGCTGCACGCATCTAATATACAGGCATGCATCAGTTTTTCTCTCAACTGTGTACTTTCATTTTAGACATAACCAACTGAGCCCATGTAAACCTTGTGTGTTTTGACAGTATTAGCGCAAAAGATAACTTAGTTCAGTAATCAGGCGCTGTTTGACAGGCTTTTTATTGATTGAAACGTTTAACTGGCAAGGCTTTAAAGCAAATATGCAAATAATGTACTTTTGTTACTGCGCATAAGTGCAGTGTCCCGTGACTATGAGAGTAACTCTACCGCTGAGTTAACACTGATGTGAATGTATGTCGCGTTGTACAGCATCTTGAGACGGAGGCGCCAGAACTGCAGCTGATAGAATGTGTGCTGTAGCACGATACTACGATATTTCTTCAAAAGCAGATCGTGGAGACATTTTTATCATCCACGATCAAAAATAGTCATATCGCACACGCCTAATTTAGACAAAATTATATATAATTTTAATATCAGCCATTTATCTTGGCCATTACATGAAAATCATTATTGTTTTACTGGTATCAGACAGAATTTTAATGTCCCTTGTCCGAAGTGAAAATTCCCTAAAATGCATCTGATCAGGGTCAGGTCAAAGTCTGATTAATTTGAGTTGTTATATCAAACTCGACTAGTTACTAGTAGTGAGATGTGAAAATATATAGTTTTCTAAAGTAGTTTGACGTTGTATTTTGTTGTTGCATTCAAGCAATTGACGCCAACCTGCCGTTAATGCAAAAGTGAAAGTAAAATGAGCACGGCGCTTTTAAGCTATTTAAAAGCGAAGGAAAGCGAGGAAAAGAGGGAAAATTCAAACGAACTAAAAACAAACAATTGCTTTACTCAGAATTGCCGCTATTTGAAAGTTAAAGTAAAATGGGCACAACGCATTTACAAGCTATTTAAAAGCGAAGGGAAAAGAGGGAACGCCCCGCCCCCGCGGTGATACCGGTATTACCGGTGTTGTCACACGTCGATTAACCGGTGGGAAAATTTCCTCACCGTCACAACCCTATTTTGCAGTGCACATGGCTAGACAAGATATCTCCGATTATCTTTTCCCCAATTTCCTCCATCTCTTTTCTGTCCCTTTCGTGTGCTCCGGCTTTCATGGGATCTTAGGCAAGTCTGGTGATCTGGAAAATTACTGGACATACCAGAGCGGAGTGTTTTCAGTAGGATACAGTGAAAAGGGGAGGCATGGCTCAGGAGACTAAAAACAGTAATCACAAGGGCATTCCAACAGGCATATGAGTCTCTGACCCAAAGTGAAATGTGGACGCAAGATCAATTTTCCTCTTGTTCAGACAGATCATGTCAGTATTGGACTAGCACAGAAACATAACTAAGACATACACACGACCTCAGAGTCTGTTTGAGGAGGCTCCAAGAGAATCATGGGTAATTTACTAAAACAATGAGGACTGGGTCTTGGCCAAGACACAAAGAATGACACTCCCAACCCAACAACCACTACCTTTCCCTCTTTATGTCTTTTTTGGGGCAGATAACCTCATGATCAGTGGCTGCTTACATTTCAACCATCAATTACTTTACAATATATAGAGCTGGTTGTCAAATCTATGCATCTAAATGCGGATCTATGCAAATAAAAGCGGAAAATATGTTTAAATGTGTTCCCTTAAAGGGGTCATATGATGGTTTTTTAAAGATCATTATTTGGTGTATTTGGTGTAACAGAATGATTCAGGAGCGCCAGATTGTCATAGCAAAGTCAGAATTACCTCTTCTCCTAGGTTCACGAAACGGTCGTCCATAAAATGCATTGCTGTTCTGTTGTAAGTAATCTTAATGCATCTACTTTCGGAAGGCCAAGTAAAGTGCTTTTGCTTTCGCCTAGAAACACAGCGTCTCCCTGACATGCTGCTTCAACACTAACTGCGGTTCCTGAAACCACGCCTTCTTTCTTTGCGTGCTCATTTGGGCGGCATTATGCAAATATTTTCACATAGTGAGGTAGATATGTGGGGCGTGTTAGAACGAGCCGTTTTAGGGGGGTGTGGCAGAGTCTTAACTTTGATAAAGAATATCTCTTTGGTTTTGAGACTTTAGTCTTTGCAACTTCAGGGATCTTATCTATGCACAATCAGCTTGTAACACTCCAAAGAGAAAGGAAAACTTGAAATCGCATCATATAACCCCTTTAAACCTCCTTTGTGCGGAAATTTCTTTTTTTTCGGAAAATATGTGGTACCGGTCATTATGCCAGTTCAAACAGTTACAGTAACCGAAACGCAGTGCAACACTTGCTGGAAAACTGATCACAAAATAAACCTTTGAAAGTCAAAGGGCCAAACCAGTGACTGGCCACCAAACATTTGCATTCTTACCAGTCAGCAACAGAGAAAAGCCTCTGAAGTGGCCACCTCAAACCACAGCGACCAGACCGGCCCTCTCTCAGCACGGCTCCCCACAAGCTATTTTATGAATGAGACATTTGAAATACTCTGCAATAAACACCAAAGATTCCTGTTACCTGATATAATGCTTAACATATCACTAGTTAGTTATACAGTACATTAGTGAGAATTCAATAAGCCTGATTCATCATGAAGCTTCAAGTATACAGTCAAGCATTTGAAGACACCCATCCATAATTACTTCTTCCACAGTTTTGAATAATACAGTCATCAAATGCATGGGAATTAAATAAAACCAAAACTCTTTTGTATTAAACTTATTCAATGAAGCCACCATTTACCTGCATTCTACCAGCTTCACGAGTTGCATCCTGGGATGCTTTGTGAAGTTTCTATCTATGCTGGACACGTACTGGCTGCTTTGCCTTCATTATCCGCTCTAACTCATACATTTAATGGTGTGTCATTGACACCATTTATATTTGTCAACAAATTAACCTTTAGCTCATAAGAAACATATTTAGTTGACTGGGCTATACATGTGCCCATAATGTTTGTTAATGGCCTCTTAATGTTAATATAAAGTATTACGTTCACCATTTATCATGTGCTCCCAGCAACCAATATGTGTATTCTATATCTATATTGGCCAGGACTCCCTGGAAGAAGAGATTTTGCATCTCAATGGGACTATCCTGTGGTAAAATAAGGGATAAATAAAATAAAAATATGAAGGGGTTCTCAAACAGGGGCCAACTGGGGGGCCTTAGAAAACTTCAAAGGCTGCTACAGGATGAATACAATGATTCTGTATTTGTATTTAATTTTGTAAATGTATTCAATTTTTACGTATTAAAATAACGTTTATTTTAATACATACAGATTGAATTATAAAGGATTAATTAAATTATTTTTATATTTATTTAATTGTTATTGTATTAAATATGTATGAATATTAATGAGATTATGTAAGACATTAGACAGACTGATTCAATTAAATTATTTAATTTTCATGAATTAAATAACTATTTTAATATATAAAAATAAAATGAATTATGAAGGATGAATTACAATGATTGTCTACATTTTTCTGTATAAAAACAGTGTAATTGAATTAAATTGTTCAAAAACATTTGTTTTCAGAAAATTAATTGTGGCTGATTAATCTCCCAGTTTGTGTTTGAAAATGAGCAGGTTTGTCATAATTACATTTCATAATTACTGTTCTAAATCATTTGACATAAAACATGTTTTAATGCAATTAGTTGTAATGCAGTGAGCCTCATGAGCTTCTGTTGCATCTTAAATGGCAGTATGACAGTGACATTATTTGGCTAATAACCCTGTCAATGGGTGAACTATGAAACTTTTAGAAAGTTTCCTAAAGCGGATGTAACCCCCACAAACCACATAGACTATGTGTGTTTACAAGTTACCACAGTGATTTCAAATAAACATCAGGCCTCATATAAAATCAACTGCTTTAGACTGTAGATTTACCTGTGCAGACAGGTGAGCTGGGACTGAGCCTCTCCGGAGACAGTCTGTCATATTCAGGGGTCTGGAGGGGTTTAGCCCTGTGGGCGCACGACCACAGCGACGAGGATGAAGACGGAGAGGCAGATAAATTAGAGGTAAGGGCTGAAGTGTCTGAGCTGCAGCACTGGGGGCTCAGGTGCGCACCTGTGTAGGGTGATGATGACGAGGATGGTACAGGTACCTGCGCGTGGGACGCTCTGGGGTTTGACGCTTGCACAGCGATAATGGGACTAGTTCTGGATGAGGATGAAGATGGTGAAGAAGAAGATGAGGAGGGAGCAGAGGAAACAGCGATGAACTGTGAGCACGTCGCAGAAGAAGTGGACGTGGCTGCAGAAACGTTTGAGGCACAGGAGGAGAGAGATCGCGTGGGGCTCCGGCTGTGGGTTCCGCTGCTGTGGCATTTACCGTTACCGGTGGAGGAGAGGACTGTCCGTGACTGTAGAGGGTGCTGTGTCTGCGTTTTCAGCTGGAAGGGAACCGTGGCTTTCATAGGCAGCAGGCGACCCAGTAAACTCACTCCAGCGGCGCTGATCCCCGGGGATCCGCTCGGGCTTCCAGCGCTCGCTCCGCTGCAGTTAGACGTCGGAGATCCGTTTTTGCGAACTCTTTGAGACATTTCGTTCGCCGGGAAATGACACAAAACTCGACATAAACACTTTAAACGTACGTTTAAGGCTGTCTGAGGTGGTTAATGCTCTTTGGTGCCCTTGTCACTCCATGTAAAGTCTATTGTCTTCTCTCTGACCGGCGCAACTGAGCCGTTTCGAGAGCTCAAGTAAACTGAGAGAGATCAGAGCCACGCACCGTCAACTCGATCCGGAGCTCTGCCTCTTCCAATCTGATTGGCTGTTCGCTCACCCCTCTCAACTTCTGATTGGCTAGGAAGTGGATTCTTTGATTCCGTAAACTTGATTATAATGCACGCAGTTATACAAGGAAGTTTCGCAAAGAAGACGATAATTATGATTTATACAGAATTTTTACAGGATTTCTTCTTCTTCTATGTGTGTGACCATATTTAAACCTACTATATTTGCTACAATCAGTGTTTAAAAATACACCAAGGTCTATTATTCATGTATTTTCTGTCAGTAGTTACATTTGTGTGTGTAAAAAGTATGATAAATAGATGTTAAATTATCATTCCCTTTTCCCACAACTGATTCATAGTGAAGATAAATAAGTTGTTACTTTGTTTGCATGTTTTCATTCAGCTTTCACTAAGCTTTTACTCACTGTTCTGAACCTTTTTTTCTTTAAGATGAGTAAGTCACATGTGCTCACTAATGCCATGTAATTTATGTATGTGTGTGTGTGTGTTTAGACACCAGATTAAATACACAAGATGCGTGCCCACATCAAAGTTAAACTTTGATCTAAATGATTTGCACTGTTACTTGAATGGAAGCTGTTGTGTGGGGACACACGCTTTTGGTCATGATATTGTGGTTGCCTTTACCACCCTCATGTGGCCACTTAATAAAATTAAACTTCAGTACAAGTAGTTTATAAACGATCCCAGAAGTTATAAATTTTACCAGTTAAGAGGAAACAAATGACAGGTAAACTTCATATACAGGTTTTCGTTAATATAATCTTTAATCAACTGAGTAATGCAGGGTTGTACAGCAAGCTTTATTTTCTAAATGGCATTTTAAAACATTTTCCGAACAGACTAAAAGCATGAGTTATCATTTGTTCTTTTTCTCAAAGTGCTTACTTTACAAGCTGTAATAGAAAACATGTCAGTGGCTTTTTTGAACATCCATCTATGTAGGGGCCAAATGAAGACTTCAGCTTCAAAATGAACTCAAAAGTAAAAAGAAAATCAGCAGCTTGTCAACACAGACCCTTCATTCATTCACTCACTCATACGCAGCCCAAAATACAGCTGATACTCAAAGTTTGTGTTTTAGAGGACACATTGTTAGCCATTTGTCATTTTCATGTTTGGTTTTGCGAGTGTAATGAGTTCCAATCAATGTAAATTTCAGTAACTGATTCATTTTAAACGCAAGAGTACAACTTGGTTTAGTTAAAACATTCCTGCAACTTGACTGAATTTAAAAAGTCTGACTTCTCAAGGTCTGCTTCAAGAATAAACAAGGCATGTAGAATCTGTAAATGATTCGGTATTCAACAGTGTGCTGTAAAACTGGACAAAGGCTCTGGTGTAAACATCTTGCATTATTAACATGTAGCAGATGGACAGTCCTCCTGAACAAACTACACTTCCAATGACTCAGCTTCATCAACGTTTTAGCTTCAACGCCTTGGTCTAAATCATAAACGTTCGTTCACTTCGGTCAAATTAGCACTGGAGGTTTGTTTTGTCTTTTATTAGGCTATTATTCCTCATTTCAGTTCACAATCTTATTCATTCACACTGACGTATCTAGCCGAGAACAGTCTGACGTTACGGTGTTTATCTTCAGATAAATCTCACAGTGATGTAGCGTTGTTCTTGGTTCCAAAGCAACAGATGAAGAGTCTGTATATGTGCATACAAATGCACCGTATATATTTACACCACAGAGGTTAGCCTATATTACAAACATATACAAAAGTCAGACTGAAGTGCTGATTGGTTCAGAAAAGAGGGCGTGAGAAACTAAACTGCACTGCATCGTCTTGTTTTCCGACAGAAAAAAGCCAGTGGAAGGGACAAATCTGATGACTTTTTGAAAGTTCCCTGCTCTGGAATGGACATAGTCCAAAGATAATGCTGGCTTGTGCCAAATCATGGTTAATCCCCACACTCATTATGGAAAACCCATACAAGCACAATAAGGGTCTCTCTGATCAAACATGTGAACATGTTTTTTCCTGGTATTTCAAGCAAAGCAGGGCCTTGCTATATGAGGGAATTTTCCTCATCACTATGTAATTATTTGAATGGCTCGTGTCCATAGTTTTCCACAAAAGGCAGCAGTTGTAGAAGAAAAAACGAGGACCATGTTATGGCTGGTAAAAACATCAACTGCTCTCAAAGTGTAGATGATTTCAAAATGAGGATGCGACACTTAAACATGACTATATTTCTAGTGGCACCAAAAAAAAAAGTAAATCTCTCCTCGATTGTACGAAAACGAAGGGTAAAACTACATGCATTTCTGATGTATTTGATTGAAAGTATCATTAAAATAAGATAAATTTACATGATTATAAACAACTTACTGATTTGATTGAATGAAAATAATAAACCCAGAGAATGAAGATGGCCCTGGGTACTACATAAATTAAACATTTAGAGAAAAATAACTTCAGAAACAGCTGAAATGGATAAAATCATGATTTCTTATTGTACACTATCATGTCAGCTTATTTTAACAGAGGCTAAAACAGAACTAAAGTAGCTGTGAGCTTCAGTCTGTACATACTGTATATATTTTGTTCATGGCGTATGTACGTATTATGTGTGTGTTTTTGCTTTCTAAAGCACATGGAGCAACATTCACTGTCCTGGCAGAGATGGGAAGTGGAAAGTATTGTTTGACTGATGCCTTGTCAGCGGTGATTTGAGGAGCTCAGTAAAGCAGAAGTAGACCCATACATACACATTTACATACACTCTCACAGAGGTAAAACTGCACAGAGCATGTGCAGAGAGGGACTTGATTATTCAGTGTCTTCAGAAAGCATGATTTCCAGCAAACAGTCCAGGTTGATGCCTGTCTTGTAGTGTAACAGAAAAAAAAACTACTGTCCTCATTGAAGCTTGTGAGAAGTCGTCCAGTAATTAAAGCAAACACCCCAAGATTTTACTTTTTTACTTCCCTTTTCAAGAGTGATGGGATTGGTGAAAAGGTGTGGGACTGTCATTTATACGACGTTTCGATGTTTGCAGTTGGGGTGGCCGAATGGACACAGGATTGCAGAAGTGCAGCGCTTCAAGATATTAAACTAAAGACAAGAAACAAACAAAAGCGGCATAAAACACATAGCAAAATTACATTGTCTTATGGAGCACCTCAAAGCTAAAGTCTATTGCACATTTCAAAATATTATACAAAAAAAAAATCAGTACACAGATACGTACAACAAATATAAAACATATGAATGTACTGTAGGTTAAACGGTATTAGAGTTGCAGTCAACCCTGTCTTAAAGACCACTGCCTTTTTTTTTCTTTAGATGGACATGATTTGAATTTCGCCTAATTTACTATGATTGTTAAATCAACACATTGTCATTTACGTTTTTCAGTTTTAAGACCAGTCTTGAACATGGTCGGAGGATTTGTGATTAAGATTGCTTACGAAAAAAGTGCAACAAATGAAAGAACAACCATAAAAACAATTGAAAATGAAACAACAAAAACAAATGGAAGCATTTTATGCCAATGTTGCTGCATAGCTGGGTTCGGTTTAAAGCGATTTCTTCAAAACAAGTTGGATAAGTTCGACAAAGTTAAGTGCTTGCCAAATTACGTCCCTTCAAGAGGCTGTTTTCCAAAAACGTTTTTCGTATATTTCTTTTCGGTCATCAGCTGGATCAGTTCTTGGAGCACGAAAGCATAGCTGTGTTCAAAGTCTGATCTGGGCTCCTCCTCAGAGGAAAAACGGAGATGCGAGTTCACAGGCAGGTCATATCTGGTGGGTCGGAGTTTAGAGTGGCGGTCGCAGTTCCACCGCTGACCAGGAACACAGCGATGCTGGATTTTGATTGGCCAGAACTTGGGAGAGCACCTCCAGTCGCTGCCGTCCCCGTCTGCTGGCTGTGCCCGTTGTTATTCACCTCTCCGTCCAGCGTTTCTGAAGAGACGACCCATGTAGAAGGGCGCCACCTTTTTAAAGAATAAGGTGTCTTCACACGCTTCTTAATCTTCTCGGCCGATCCGGCTTTTCCCTCTTGTGACACGACCTCATCTAAAACAGAAAAGGAGGTCATGTTTTAACAAACATCCTTGATAATGACAATGAAAAACAGTTGTGTGTGTTGCAATGTGTCTATTGGGAATACTAGCAGAGCTGCTCCAAACATCCCGCCCAGTGAAGCACAAGAGAGTAGTATTTCAGCACACTCAAATTTGTGGTTGACCTTTCCCACACTAACTCTCTCCGTGTGCGCTCCAGTCTGAATCATTGGGTTCGAGCGGTTCATGTCTCCGCTCGAGTCCGCATGCGGAACGTAAACACATGGGCAGCGCGACTCTTGTTTTTTCATCTTCCTGTTTAGCGTCTACTCCAGGGGTAACAGCGATGGACGCGTTCATCACGCTCGCATCTGTCTGTTAGTATCACTCTTTATCGCCGCTGCCAACTGAGGCCAAACGTTTTCTGGATTCTTATTAATCCAATGGAATTTCCTTCCTTCTCAACATCTAAACACTCACAAAGAGCAGGAGAGTGGGAGAGAAAGTATGACTAGCCACTCATCCTTTTCTCTACGAAACGTTTAGCTTTTGAGGAGATGTGGTCTTGATTATCTGGGCAAAGCAGGATATAGTGAGCTCAGATGGGAAAACAGCCTGGTGTCTTTTTTTGGGTGGTTATTGTTTGCAGCCAGGCTGACAAGCACACCAGCTCCTCCACACTGCTCCTGGGGACGCTGTTGATCAGGGATGGTCTGAGACTGTGTTTGAGTCTCCAAACTCAACACAATAACAACACAGTTCGGCTGGTACAAGCATACCAATGGTGATTTATTTATTTAAGACTTCACTGGAAATACAGCTTTCCCTATAATAACACTTCATCTATGCTCAAATAATCTCTATTACATATAATTCATGTTGGATTACAATAATTTAGCATATAAAAATGCAAATTTGCACAATATCACTAATTGTTTAAATTAAAAGTTCTGCTTTAATCTACATGAACAACAGGATTGCATGAACACACATGTTCAAAAGGTTGGGCTCAGTAAGGTTTTTTAAAGAAATTAATATTTTTATTTAGAAAAGATGCATTAAATTAAAAAGACATTAAAAAAGCATAAAAAGTTAAACTGCTCTTCAACATTGTTAATAAAAAAAAACTGTTTCTTGAGCAGTTATTTTAAATTGTAATAATATTTCAAAATATTACTGCTTTTAATGCATGTTTGATAAAACACGTTTGGGTCAGGAACATTTTTTTTGCACACTGAGTCCGAAATTCTCGCACATTAAAATATAAATACGACCTCACGTTGTGTCAATCACGTTTACACACTGTCGCCGAAACTTTCGTCCGTCATTAAAAAAAAATTGGATCAGATTCGTTTTTCTGCGTTTTCGTATCCGAAGCAAGCATTTTGATAGGAAAGGATGACGAATACGAAAAAACATGTACAAAAATTTTGGACTGTGCAAGGACCCTTAGGCTAGGGTGACCATACGTCCTCTTTTCCCCGGACATGTCCTCTTTTTGGACCTAAAAAAATGCGTCCGGCCGGGATTTCTTAATCGCCCAAAATGTCCGGGATTTGGCTGTTTTCTTTATCCCACTCCCGCTGAATCTCTGACCATTGCCGCCTGCTCCTGCAACATGTGTTTCGCTCCTGCGATTTTCATGTCCACTCCTTTAAACATTCTAATATTGTATATAATTCTGGCGTGTCAGGAAGCTGCTCTCAGTATGGGGAGTATTTTAATCCCTTTTAAATGAGCGTTCGGCTGTTCACTTTCACATTTCACGATCACACGCACTCTGTGTAAAGGGAGCGCATCTTACAAGATCAGTTATTTATTTGTCAATGAGCTCAGAATCTGTTGAGCAGCAAATACTCCAGCATGGTCTTGTCAGTCATGTCTCCTTATTCTCGACCTGTGGTCAGTCAAAGCTGACTCCTGCAGCTCTTGTTGGATGCAGGGTTGCCAAGTCCGCGTTTTTTCCACAGAATTGGGCTACTTTTAAACTGTTGCCATGGGTTGATTTTCCCAAGTGGGTTAAAGGTTTGAAATATTGCATAAATTACATTTGACTGAAATGCTTGTATTGAAACATTTTGCATTCTACCTATGATAAAACTTTCATGGTCTTCTACATGTAATTTATTCCTGTGATGCAAAGCTGAATTTTCAGCATCATTACTCCAGTCTTCAGTGTCACATGATCCTTCAGAAATCATTCTAATATGCTAATTTGGTGCTAAAGAAAGATTTATTATTATCAATGTTGAAAACAGTTGTGCTGCATAATATTTTTGTGAAAACTGTTTTTTTTTTCCAGAATTGTTTGATGAACAGAAAGTTCTAAAGAACAGCATTTACTTGAAACAAAAACCTTTTGTGAAATTATAAATGTCTTTACTGTACTTTTGATCAATTTAATGCATCCTTGCTGAACAAAAGTATTAATTTCATTTAGAAAAAAATTGTTGTTGCTACCAAAATTCTGGAACAGCATTTGCGTTGGAGAGCACCTATGACAGCACTGACACCTATTTCAGGCATTCCAAAACCTAGTGAATTCAGGTCCAAACTAAAACTGATCTTACCCAGAAGAGAAGAATCCTGGGAAGTTGCTGACAGGTCCAGTGAGTTTGGCCGCTCAGGTCTCCTGGGCTTATGCCGTCTCAGAGGAACCCCATCATCCCTTCCATCTGGTGCCCCCGGAGGGCAGGTTAATGTCTCCATCAGGGCGTCTACAGGAGCTAAGGTACGAATCGTGGCGGTTGTGTGGATGTTGCTGTTGTTGTTATTGGAGTTGGTGCGACCGGAATGATCGTGTGCCGCTGACTGCTCTCTCCTCAACAGGGGCTCGTGTTCATCGGGACTGGAGTTGATGTTGATGTTGAGGCGGCTGTCTTCTCCACTCAGCTGGCTCTGGAGCAGAGGTGCACCACCGTCACCCTGCGGCCCGGCTGGGTTGGTGTTCCCAAATGCATCAGAGGAGCCAGCGCCACTGACCCCACCATATCCATTAACAACGACCACTCCAACGCCGCTACGGACACTGGGCCCGTTGTTAGTGACAGTGACCAAGTGTGGCTCGACTGTCACTACAGTGTTCATCTTGGCCAAGCCTGTCTCTACCTGCTTCAGGTTGGACTTGTGCTTGCCAAACTTCCGTGACGACGAAGACTCCCTGCCAGAATTTTTGGTGTTGAGGGGCAAGCTGGTGGGCCGCTTGGGGAGATTCTGCTGTTTGGGAAGAGGGAACATGGCTGTAGGAGTGTCGCCCATTCCACTGCTGCCCACCCCGAAATCAGCCTGGCTGCCAGTTCCTGATCCTCCAGTCACTTCTGCGGCGAGTTTGATCAGCGGGTACAAGAGGCTGGAGCTGCCCAAGCTGAGCGGGTCAGGAGCGCTGAACTGCTTCTGCGAATGCTCCATCAGGTTCTCATCAGAGCTTTCTTTTAGGTTCTTGTCCACCTCCTTGGGGTCCAGTTTGGTGGTCTCCAGGTCCTCTTCTGTGAGCTGAAGGCACACTGGTACGCTTCCTCCGGCTCCGACCTCCTCCGAGTGGCCTGACTCAGAGATGGTGGTCATGATGGTGCTGGGCGTGAGGCCCGTTGTAGTGGTTGTGGCGGACAGACTCGTGCCGCTGGTCTCTGGACTGGGCAGCCTAGCTTGGGCCTGAGCCTGCTGTCTCTCGTAGTTGATAGAGTTTCTGTTCTTCTCTCCTGTCACTGCCACGCCGCCGCTGATGCCGCTCACGCCCATGCCACCCACAGAGGACGTGCCAGACGTGGAGACGTCGCCTGGGAGGTTCTTCACCATGCCCTCATGATCCTCGATGTAAGAGGATGAAGAGTAATCTGGATAAGAGCCCATCTTGGGAGCCCTGCGACTGTGGGTGAGATTCCTACAAGAACAGAGAGAGAACAGGGGTCAAAACGGAGAACAGATGGTCCATTTAATTAAAGGTGCTGTAAATATCAGATAATGTACAGGTCATTATCACAAAATAAACCCTGAGAAGGTGATCAGGAGCCCATCAAGAATGACCCTGAAGGGGTTTATGATGTTATATTTGCTGGCTGACAGTACATTATCCCACTTAGTACATGGCTATTAACCAAATAAAAAAGCATTTTTAAAATTTTTTTTTTATATAATAACATTATTACAATATTATATAATATTCTACGAATTATGTTTATATCTTACATATCCCCTAAAGAATAAATGACCATTATTATGTCATATTTTGTATATTATTATTTATTATATTATTTTGTAAAAAAAAAAAAAAAAAAGTCTGGCTGACAGTAAATTATCCCACTTATACCCAGCTACATTATCTATGAATTATAATGTATATTTATTAAAAACAATTATATATTTGCTGGTTGATAGTACATTATCCCACTAATTACACGGCTATTAACTTAAAAAAATAAGCCTTGATTTTTTTATATAATAACATTATTATAATATTATATTATATTTTAGGAATTATGTTCATACCTTACATACTCTAAAGAATAAATGACCCTTATTTTGTAATATTTTGTATATTATTATTTATGATACTATTTTGTAAAAAAGAAAAGTATCAGTAAAGATTACAGTAAAATTATTTCACTTATTATACCTAGCTACATTATCTATGAATTATAATGTATATTTACTTAAAAATAATAAAATATATAAACAATTTTAGATTTTTTTGTACTTCACATTTATTAGTTTAAAGATTTTGCTGTGAGTAATATATTTTGTTTCAGTACACCTAATTCAGTAAAATATGTAAGACATCAGGCAAAGTTTCAATGATAAATTGCTTACAGCTCCTTCACATTATTTAGAAAAGGCCGAGAGCATGGCAAAAAAAAAAAAAGCCCAGACAAGAACAATTAAGTGTGTAATAAGCACACTTTCCCCTTATTTATTCATGAGCTGGTCAGGAGTGACTGTGAGAGTATGCGAGGTGTGGTCAGACCTCTCGTTCTGCAGCGCTGTGCTCATGGGATTGATAGTGGGGCTGACGGGTTTGTTTCTTTCCCAGATCAGCAGCAGTTCCGCCATACGCTCTTCTGCACACTGCGCTGTCAGGCGAGCCTCTGCGTCCTGATCCCAGCAATCCTCCATAGTCTCCTTGAGAGAGCGCACGGCCTGGGAGAGAGGAGAGTGAATGTCAAAAACACATAGATAATAAAATTACTGCGGTGGTTGCCACTACATTATTATGTGCTCATCATGTTCGATTTCATCATGTTTGAATCACTTGAGATTCTGTGGTAAACACATTGTACTGCAAAGACCAGCATATAATGTGCTGGTGTATCCAACAGGAACAGGATGGTTAACTAGCCTAACCCAGTAAACTTCCTGGGTTGATCAGGTTCACCAAATGAAACTAATTCAGCCTGTTCAACAGCAGTCAACAGCTTGGTTGGCCAGTATCAACTGGCTCCGACTTCATGGTCTTTTCAGCAGAGTGAAAATGCACAGAATATAAGAAGTCTTCTATGTTGTTCCACTTTTATATGATTTGGATAACAGAACAACAAAAAGAACTGTATTAACTGAAGTGAATGAAGAGCTGGGAAAGAGCTTCAGCTGATCTTGCAGCAATAATCTGACCACTTCCTGTCACAAGAACAGAATGAGATTGTCTCAGTGACTCACCAGGCTGTTCTCCTTCCAAGCTTCTGGAAACTTGGGTCTCTGTTTCTCTCTGGACACCAGCACCTGCATGTCCTCAAAGGATGGGTGGTTCCCTGCCTCGGCCTGGAAGGCCATCTGGTAATCTGGCACTGCCTCGCCTTCAAAAAAAAACAAAGGAAAGTCAGTCAGTAGAGACCTCCATATGCCTGCACTCACTAGAATTAACTGAAAAATACTCAATGAGATGAGGCACGCTCATATTTCATGAACATAATGAGCAGGATACAACACAGTCTTTGTTGTAACCCAATGGTATAGCGTAGTGGTTATGGACGTAAGGGGTTGAGCCTAGGGATGGGTCAAGATACTCAAAAAGATACCCAACCAACCAGATGGCCAGTTTTTTTGACAGGGATGAAGTAAGAAACAACTTCTCTGAGAGGATGCTGTTACACTCTCTACAGAAGTTTCACCTCTAAATTCAGCCCAATCCCCAAAGTATCTCTGCTACCATCATCAAAACACTGCTTTTGTAAAAAAATTAAAAAATAAACTCTTTCAATGAAAAATATTTTTATATGATTTGGATAACAGAACAACAAAAAGAACTGTATTAACTGAAGTGAATGAAGAGCTGGGAAAGAGCTTCAGCTGATCTTGCAGCAATAATCTGACCACTTCCTGTCACAAGAACAGAATGAGATTGTCTCAGTGACTCACCAGGCTGTTCTCCTTCCAAGCTTCTGGAAACTTGGGTCTCTGTTTCTCTCTGGACACCAGCACCTGCATGTCCTCAAAGGATGGGTGGTTCCCTGCCTCGGCCTGGAAGGCCATCTGGTAATCTGGCACTGCCTCGCCTTCAAAAAAAAACAAAGGAAAGTCAGTCAGTAGAGACCTCCATATGCCTGCACTCACTAGAATTAACTGAAAAATACTCAATGAGATGAGGCACGCTCATATTTCATGAACATAATGAGCAGGATACAACACAGTCTTTGTTGTAACCCAATGGTATAGCGTAGTGGTTATGGACGTAAGGGGTTGAGCCTAGGGATGGGTCAAGATACTCAAAAAGATACCCAACCAACCAGATGGCCAGTTTTTTTGACAGGGATGAAGTAAGAAACAACTTCTCTGAGAGGATGCTGTTACACTCTCTACAGAAGTTTCACCTCTAAATTCAGCCCAAACCCCAAAGTATCTCTGCTACCATCATCAAAACACTGCTTTTGTAAAAAATAAAAAAATAAACTCTTTCAATGAAAAATATCTGGGTTGATCAGGTTCACCAAATGAAACTAATTCAGCCTGTTCAACAGCAGTCAACAGCTTGGTTGGCCAGTATCAACTGGCTCCGACTTCATGGTCTTTTCAGCAGAGTGAAAATGCACAGAATATAAGAAGTCTTCTATGTTGTTCCACTTTTATATGATTTGGATAACAGAACAACAAAAAGAACTGTATTAACTGAAGTGAATGAAGAGCTGGGAAAGAGCTTCAGCTGATCTTGCAGCAATAATCTGACCACTTCCTGTCACAAGAACAGAATGAGATTGTCTCAGTGACTCACCAGGCTGTTCTCCTTCCAAGCTTCTGGAAACTTGGGTCTCTGTTTCTCTCTGGACACCAGCACCTGCATGTCCTCAAAGGATGGGTGGTTCCCTGCCTCGGCCTGGAAGGCCATCTGGTAATCTGGCACTGCCTCGCCTTCAAAAAAAAACAAAGGAAAGTCAGTCAGTAGAGACCTCCATATGCCTGCACTCACTAGAATTAACTGAAAAATACTCAATGAGATGAGGCACGCTCATATTTCATGAACATAATGAGCAGGATACAACACAGTCTTTGTTGTAACCCAATGGTATAGCGTAGTGGTTATGGACGTAAGGGGTTGAGCCTAGGGATGGGTCAAGATACTCAAAAAGATACCCAACCAACCAGATGGCCAGTTTTTTTGACAGGGATGAAGTAAGAAACAACTTCTCTGAGAGGATGCTGTTACACTCTCTACAGAAGTTTCACCTCTAAATTCAGCCCAATCCCCAAAGTATCTCTGCTACCATCATCAAAACACTGCTTTTGTAAAAAAATTAAAAAATAAACTCTTTCAATGAAAAATATCAAGACAATTAATGTCGGACTTCCTGCTGTGAGCAATGTTCCTAGTATGCATAATCCATAAGTCACTGTGTGAGGAGAACAATCATTTTGTGCTATAAAAGGTTATATTGTACATCTTTCATGTGATAAAAAGGTGGAGGAGCTTTGTTTTGGGAGGTTCATTAAACCATGCTTATACCATGGAAACATGTTAGCATTGACAGCTTGAAGCTGTCATTTATAAAAAAATAAAAATAAAATAAAAATGTACTTTCTCTAACTAAAAATAAGAATGACAATAAGAAATGCTTTTTTAACACAAAATCATCATATTAGAATGATTTCTGAAGGATCATGTAAAATTCCTCTTAGCCATCATACTGTATGCTTAAAACAAGACAAAGCACTATCTACAAACGTTTTATTATTTTTTTAAATATGACTATATTTTTTTATATTATTATATTTTTTAAATAAAATATTAAAAAGAAATTAAAAAGGGCTTAGTATCTTTTTCAGACATTCTTATAAAAAATAAAAAAATAAAAAAAAAGTTAAGATAATGACTTTGTCTTAACCTAATTTTAACACCACTGAAACTAGCTGACTTTACATGCTACAGCCAGTTCTGCTTAGCCAGCAGTATATCCACATCCTTGCTGTTGTTTGTAGAGAGCTGTGGTCCTCACCTGGAAAAAGGTCAGTGCATCTCATGAAGGTCTCCCAGTAGATAAGGCCGATGGCGTACATGTCCACCTGTTTCAAAGCCGACTCGCAGTCCCTGAGGTTCACTGCTCCCTCCAGCACTTCCGGCGCCATGTAGCGGATTGTGCCCACCTAGACAGCAGAGCAGTACAGGTGTGAGGGGAAAGTGCTCTTTTGGTGGGTCTGGATCAGCAATTCTGGACACTTCCAACTACCAACATGACCATGACTGGGTCATGTGCACTAACAATGATATACTGTTATAATATTCCAGTCAAGCGAGTGCTTATGGGCTGACCTCACTGATGGCGGCGTTTTCCTCTTCACCAGGCCGTACGAGGCGATTTCCCGTCAGTTTCATGGACAGGCCAAAGTCACTGATCACACACGTGCCGTCGTTCTTCACCAGAACATTACGGCTGTTTAGATCCCGGTGTGAAACGGCAGGTTTATATAAATCTGTAACAGAAATATCATGTTAGAAGAGTTTTAGTAACTGTGGAGTCACAGACAGTGAACCTAAAGACTGGATGTTGAAAATTCAGCTTTGCCATCATGAAATAATTAACATTTTGAAACAGATTAAAATAGAAAGCCGTTATTATGAATTGTAATAATATTTCACAGTTTTTACTGTATTTTTGATCAAACACAGCCTTAGATTAAGGTCGGAAAGTTTTTTTTTTTACATATTTTGTAAATTAGTCTTTTATGGTCGCTTATTTTAAAATCATTAAGAAATCTTACCAACACCAAACGTTTAAATGATATTTTATGCATATACGTTGTTAGTGGACAAATTAAATAAATTAGTGAATGTTAAAAGTGATTTTAACTGTCCCTGGACCACAAAACCAGTCATAGAAACTGAATAAATAAGCTTTCCATTGATGTATGGTTTGTTAGGATAGGACAATATTTGGTCGAGATACAACTATTTGAGGATCTGTAATCTGAGGATGAAAAAATAAAAATATTGAGTAAATCGCCTTTGAAGTTGTCCAAATTAAGTTCTTAGCAATGCATATTACCAATCAAAAATTAAGTTTTGATATATTTACGGTAGGAAATTTACAAAATATCTTCATGGAACATGATCTTTACTTAATATCCTAATAATTTTTGGCATAAAAGAAAAATGGATAATTTTGACCCATACAATGTATTCATAGCTTTCAGTCACGTGACCGGCTCGAAGACGTGGAGGGCAAAACATCCATAGAACTGCAGGACAAGCCTGTCAATTTTCCATCTGTTTCACAGCTGTAAATATTTAGATCACCTCTCAAAAGAATAAAACAAAGTTATGTGAACAAAATGCAAGTTTTGGCCATTTGCAATCCATATTAAGCACCCGCGGCAATATTTCAATCATTAAACAGTGCGACAAAATGTTGTAAAAACACTTTAAGTGCCTTAATATATTTAAAACAGTAATATTCTCTATATTAATGATGCATAGTTTACATAGGCAAGCAGATGAGGCCGGAATATGAACGCAATCCGCTTAATGGGGTCATATGATGCTATTTTAAAGATCATTATTTTGTGTATTTGGTGTAACCGAATATGTTGACATGCTTTAATGTTCAA